TTTTTTACTCTTTTTTACCCTTTTTCTCAAAGATCTCCTGGTCCAATTGCAAAAAAATTTGCACCATTCGATTCAGCGTCGTCGAATTACCATTATATCAAGTTTCTGGCAAAGTGGTCAAAAATTTGGCACTTGGCCCTTTTATTGCCTGGACTATTTCACAATTTTTTCAGTAAAGGTCATCTGAAGGTAAACATCTTGACCATCGTTGGATTCTGATGTTGAAGTTATATTTCTTTTGGCGCGTTTTGTAAACTGAAGTTAGATGCGACCGAAAAATCGACACACCACGAAGTTGTCGATATTTACAATGCGCGGGCAAAGCGATTTCAAATTTTTCTCAAGCGGTCACCCATCCAAATCCTAATCGTACTCAAGCGCTGCTTGATTTAAATGATCGAGCAGGAATAAGGGCTGCCAGCGCGCCATACCCGTTGACGCATAAAGTAATTTGATATTACTCCCTTATATTTAGTGTGGACTGATATCTATATTTTGATATATTTGACCAGGATCAATATACATTTAAATTTCTGTTAAAATTTTCGAGACGCCTAAAACTAATGCAGAGAAATTTAAAGAATACTTCTTCTTCATCACGTATAAATAAATAAATTAAATTATACTTATTAATTTTAATATATATATAAACCTTTATCACACACACAAATTATATTAAATATCTTTATTTTATTTAATTATTTTATCGTCTTATTGACAAATTTAGAGTAAGTATTATATTGACACGCGGGATAGTTGGAGTTTTTTTATGTTGTTTTTTTTGTTGAAGTTATATTTTTCAAGTTATTGAGGTTATATTTGTTTTGGTACGCTAAAGAAGTATAAGTTCTTATGTGCGTACATAAGTACACACACCAGTTTTTTTTTTTTTAGTTAAATTTTCTAATTTATACTTCTTGTGTTTCTATATGTAAAATGAATTACATACATATACCTTTATATTCTTATCATTTTATGAATAGACTGTTATTTTTATGTTTTTTAAGATATAGTTAGTTTTATTTTACGTTGAAATAAATGACTGAATAATGCACATTTTAGTTTGTTTTTGATTTATACGGTTTTACGTATAAAAATCTACGATTTCGATTTACACGGTTTTCTAAGGAACCTATCTTCATTGTAAATCGTGGGATAGGTGTATTACATACTTTTCTTAGGCATTGTATATAATACCTAGACATTCTATATAATGAGCTATAGACAAATGCTATTTAGGCAAAGTAAGGAAAAGGTACTGATAAGGCTCTATTATATAAATGACGTGCATTCCTCAAAAATAGAAATGTTATTCTGAAAAAATAATGAGAGCGTGCGATTAAAAGAAATGTATTCAAAGTAGGTAAAGAAAAATAAAAGTTGTACAAAACAAAACCCTGACACAACCCTGACGTAACCCTGACGCCTTCTTTAACAGGATAAATGAGTTTACTTTTGTTTTTTATAATCATTACATCATAGCGATTCAGCAACCAATAGTTCCTGGTTAGTTATTTTGGCTTTTTGTAAATCATTTATTAACTTTTGGTTAGTAATTTCAGTTAAGAAAATACTGTTATTTACAACATTAATTTGAATTTTGGGCAGTTCATCGTTGAAATGTTGTTTCATGTCTATAGGACCATGATTCCTTTTCCAACACAACAGCTTGTTCCTCCATTTTCATAGAGCACAGAAAAAAATTAATTTTTTGTTAAAAAAAAATTTAAGTAAAATTACGTATTTTGACATTCCTGAACGAACCGCAAAGTGCAACTGACAAATACTAAACCTGAGGCGCACGTTAAAAGTCACGTGCCTTGCCACGTGATATTCGAAACGAATCGAAAATGTATTTCATACTTTGCTGGTTTCTCATTTGGTATTCTATAGAATGCCTAGGAAATGTGTGAAATATGAATCGTTTCATACATTGTGGCCAATTTTAGGCATTATATACAATGCGTTGGCATTCTATAGAATGCCAAATTTCAAACTATGCCGGTAACATAATATATATATCATATTTCTCCAAAATCTCATAAATCTATTTCATAATATATATACGATAAAATGAATAGAATTATTTCTACGCAAAAATTTAACATTTTAATAATTGTTGAATAAATCTCTACGTATATTATTTATTATATTATATATGTGATGACAATAATGAAAATATGAAAAATATACCATAGCTTCTCTGTCATAAAATAATTGTAAGTGATAAATGTTTATATGTAAAATCACAGATCTGACTGTATTTTTAAATTTTTATCATTTGACAATTATTATAACATGCTTCGTTTTTGCTTTTTATATACTTTCTTGAACATCGTCTGCAGCAATGTTAACAATGCGTTCTTCGTCTGGAGCGCGTCTTTTTCTGATTAAGTATAACAGACATCTTTTTGTTAATTGTGGAATTACCACGTTATTATAGCAACACATTCCAATCAAAAGAATCGTAAAGCCAATGAGCTGCAAAAAGGTTTCATTAATAATTAATTCAGTCAACTTTGCTTATTGTAATTAATGTTAAAAATTATAATGGTTGTCAATATTTGATAAACACATATTGTTAAAATCAAAAATATATTTTGTTCTCAAATATATAATTACCTGAAGATAATGAAAATCTTGCCATCCAAATATCAATGAAAAAGCCCATATAACAATTGTTCGTATGCTATCTAAAATCATTCTTGTTGTAGCACTGATTTCCTTTGTCACACTAATACCAGCAAAGTTAAAAAATGCTATACTGAATGCTATTCCTATATAAAAGAAAAGAAAGAAAAGATACGGTGTGTGTGAGTCATGGTTAATATAATTATTGTATATATTAAAATAATTTAATCTCATATTATCTAGTAGTAATAAACTACTGATTTTACTAACCAACTATTGCCATCAGTAATCTGCCACTATTTCCAATTTGTACAAAAGCATCTGTAGTAGCTTCAAGAGTTCCTCGTGAGTTATCCGCAAATGGTGGTGGTGCGTAAATAAAATTAAGAGGAATCATCACGAGGCATATGCCAATAAATCCAAAAATACCTAACAAAAATTCAAAGCTTGTTTACCATAATTTAAGTTTATTTAGAAATATGGATCGTAAAAAATCATAAAAGTTATTTCATGTTTGCAAAATCAATACTCTTTTGTTAAAAGTATTCTTATGCTTTACCTTCCCAACCAACTGCTTGTAATGCAGGAATATCTTGACCAGCTATAAATTTTTCTTCTATTACCATTTGGACCGCTGTTATTACCTAGTAAAAATAATATTTTTGATTTAATGCTACAAAAAAATAATATGACCCACTTATTTGCCAAATCAATTAACTCTGTAAAAGAAAAAGTAAATAAAATTGATGAAATAATATAAATCATCGTATAATTTTATTATTAATATTAAATAACAATACAAATTATTTTCTTTGAGTAATATTAATCCTAGTAGCTTGATAATAAAATTGAAAAACATTCTTAAAAATGTGTTAATTGTTTTGGCTTGTAAAGTCTTCATATATTAAATGTGATTATACCTGTGCACAAATTATTAGTAGATCTCCAGTTAAAATAGAATTCAAACTAGTATCGTCATCTTTCTTAATCATCATATCGCTCAAACCAACAAGCGCTAAACCTATCATAACAAATATAATTCCAGTCCATTCTCTTCCACCGAAGGTTCTATTGAGGAAGCCCATCGAGAGAATACCAGTAAAAACTATAACAGCACCACGCAACATTTGAAAACTACTGGCATAAGTCAAATTAAGACCGACGTACATAATAGAAGTTGCTAACATATCACACATAGCTGGTATAAATAGGATGAATGCATTGAAATTGCGAGATCCTTTGGTTAAGATATTATTATCTACAGAACCATCCTGTAAAATAATTATTTAGAATTAAACTAGATGTTAAGAACAAAATAAAAAATTAAGTATTAGAAGTAACGCTTACATCTTTACGACAATAGTAACAATATGCAATTTTAAAAATGATAAGGCATAGCATTTCGCCCAAAAACATAAATGAAGATTGCATAAATGGATGATTAAAGTGACGAGGCACTCCATCCTGTCCAGCCACTACTTGTTTATCAGCATACCTAAGATAAAAATCCAAATGTTTACAAACTATTATTTTTTCCTTTTCGATTGAAGAATATAATGAAACTTTTAATACAAGAGCATATTATAATATTGTTACATATAAAGGATGTCTGAGGTTTTTCTGGACGTTATCGTAATAAAAATATGTCAAAATAAAAATAAAAATGTTATAAAAACATAGATCATTTGAAACTTTATGAAAAAGCGATGACAAAAATTGTAAATCACTAATTCCTTGTTCAAAATGCAGATCACCTACACGATTGTGTAGGTCCTATTACTGCAGGAGAAAATAGACTTGTTTCACATAATTGTGAATACGCATTCAAAAATACTAGATGATGCAGTACTATTTTGACAAGAAATCTGTATCGGTACTCTCTTATAGCAACCCGATTATTTTTGTTGAACAAACCATATGCATAATGAATGTCTTTAAAACTACTTTTTGTATCTCGATCAGTAATATTTCATAAAAGAGGAAACTTAAAGAAAATTGATACCGATTGACACTCGCTAAATCACTTTGAAATAGTAAACATCATAAATATATAATATTATATAAACATAATCTCGCTGCTTAGTAAATGTGAACATAACTTTTGAACAAATTTTCATGCACAGAATACACTGACATTCTTTGGCCAAAGAAACCTCAGGTACCCTGTATATCATATATATAAAATACTTACTTTACAGAAAGGGTATTAAATGATCCAGTAACTACCATAAGAATTGCTAAAATATATTGATAATGTGTCCATGATAATTTATCCATCTTTGAAAAGTTGAATATATAATCTGAGAATAAATTATAAATGAATATTATACTTTTAATTAGAATCTTTAGTTTAATTAAAATAAATCTAAGATTAAATCTAATTCAAATACATAAATTAGAATATGGAACACTAAATCATCATTTATATTTATTTGACGATACCACATAAAGCTTTGTTAATAGATATTGTGTAATATAAGCATATCAGATATATGATAGGTCTCTTATTTCATGATGACAGTGGTTTTTCTAAAGAAAATTCTAATATAATTAAATAAAATCATATTCTATTAATCAAATCTAGACCCGAGTAAAAATTTAAAAATATGTTACTTCTTATTGATTTGGAATGATATCTTCTAACACAAAGGTATGTTTAAACAAAATTGAAGATACAAATAAATTAATAATAGATGCATAGATTCGAATTCAAGTGTCAAAGTAATATATATATATATATATATATTGAAACTCAATCAAAGTATATAAAAAATGATAAAAGAAAGATATTTAAATATTTCAAATAAATATAAAATTAAATTAACAAATACCTTTAAATAAGGTCGTATACTTTGACCGAACTCATAAGCACAAAGGATATCGTCAAAAAAATGACGACTTAAACGCTCAACGTTTAAATCGAGTTATTTAAATTGTTTTATTTTTATGAATAATCGAATTGGCTACTTACTATAATGTAATATTTATACAAGCGTCGAAAATTTTTAAATAAAATCTATAATCGCTTTATAAAAATACTTGGAAGTGTATACCATTGTCGAATTAATCTTTCTTTCACGACTTTTATAATGCAATTGACAGTTCGTAGTTTCAATTCTCGAAGTGTCGCTGTGATCTGTTTTCAATCAGCTGTCAATAATATAGAATACATACACTTTACATTTATTGACAGTGAATAAGTGACAGATAAACAATTTAAATGCATGTGTAACCGTAGAAAAGTTGGCATAAAACCTAAACAGCAGAAAAAAATGAATAAATGCTCTTAATTGCTCACTAATTGCTCAATTAAAATCCATATAACTACTAATTTTACTAATTAATTATTTAATTAGTTATTATTAATTGAAATACAAACATTTTTTTTCTATTTCTAAGTAAAACAACGAAGTTTGCAACAGCAAAAAGAATGAATAAGTGGTCTTAATTGCTCACTATTTGCTCAGCTTTATTTTATCAAATATTTTTTATTTATATAAATATATATATGATATATAATATAATATATATATATATATAATATAATAATATATTATATATATAAATATTTGATGAAATAAAGTTGAAGAGCCGGACAAACAAAAAGTCAGCAATTGATTGAAAACAAAAAACTGTAGAAAATTTCATTACTTTGCTTAGAAATGAGAAAAAATGTTTTTGTATGTTCAATTATTAATAACTAATTAAATAATTAATTAATAAAGTGTGCAATTAATAAAAATTAAAATGTGCAATTAAGAGTACTTATTCATTTTTTTCTGCTGTTGAAGTTCTATGCCAACTTTTATGCGGTGCATGTCTATGGTATACGATAATTTATATATACAAGATATATCCGAAAAAATCAATTATGAATACGATTTTGACAATGAATTTGTGGATTTAGGCGAACATCATAAAATATCAAACAATGATTTATTTAAACAAATTAACGAAATACAAATTGGCTGACAAATTAGTCTTAAATACATATTATACTTCATTTATTGTATATTCAAAAATCATGTTATTCGTACTCATAAATATTACTTATCTTTCAAGATACAAATCTTAACAACTAATAGTCTATAACAATGGTATTATAATAATCAAAATTATGATAACGCGTTAGTAATAATAATAATAATAATAATAATAATAATAGTAACTATACAAAAAACTATAAAAATAATGAAATGTTATTAATGCTACTCCGTATTATATATTCAGGAATTAAATGTCACGTTCTTCCTTTTCTTTAATCTCTGTCAGGCCATTATAATTAAAACTGGCAAATTTACAATCTATATTTTCTTTTTTATTCTATGTATTCGTATATTTAACCTTTGACTGCGATGCGATTTCAGAAAAATCCATTACATACGTCATGATCGTCACATGTTAGTCGCTGCGACTAGTTGTCCACTGATTCGTGACCAAAACAGTTCCCCAAAATTTAAAATACCATTCTCTCTTATGGTTTAAAAAAATAATAATTTTAAATAAATTATAATATCAATTTTTTTATTTATTTCAAATAACTTTTCAAGCTACCTTAATTTACTTAACTTAAATTGAAAATTTTAGGTTTTATAGTGGAAAAAAAGGAAGAAGGCGTAAATTTACACCTTTCGTTTATATTGATGGATACGTGAAAGCGTATATATACGCCTTTAGCAGTCAAAGAGTTAAAATTTGTTAATATAGTACACATATGCCATTATAGAAATACAGAATTTGCATCGAATTATTTATTTCTTTGTAAATGAACATTCCATTTCAAACTATTTTTTACAAAGATTATTTTCATTATCACTTTATTTTTTTATTTATTTGTTTTTGTCTACCCAAGATCTATTTTTCTTAAATTTACGATTATATTAGAAAGAAGTCTTTAAATAACTATGTAATTGATACATTTTTATCTTTTATTTTTTTCTTTTTAAGGAAAATTCTTATCGTTTATCCTACGTTTATAGTGTATATGTATATATATATGTTTTATGGAAACATCAATATATGACGAAATAAAATTAAGTCATACGCAATATCTGTATTTACACTACGCATCCCTCGTTTTATGCTAATTAGCTTTTCATATTATTAAAGAGGCCATGCCAATAAATGTTATCATGTTATATTATAACAATGGAAAATATTAAAGATAGGATGGGTGTACGTATCATACATTATACTGTATGAACTAATCCTTCAAATATTAGATACCTGAAAAAAAAATTAGTTAATTTAAATTGTGCCGTTCATATGCCAAACCGATTAACAACACGTTAAGTGTCAAGTCTCTTTTGTTGTGCTTTCTATTTAGACCACGATGATTGCCAATTGTAAAAAAAATATAAGAATGTCGGTTATTAATGATCTAAATGTCCTGAATGGAAAGTCTAAGGTTGGTTCGTAGGGATCGAATTATTTGCATTTAGTGATGTTAAGTGTAATTATTAAAAAAATTTATTTTAAATCTAAAAAGTTAAGTATCGATCAATTACTTTGATGATAAAATTTTTAAAAATTCTAAAAGTCGAGTCAATCGCTTTGACTTCTAAATGACTCAATTAATAGATTTATGGATATTGTTAATAATATTCAAATTATATTACATACCTAAATTATATATTGATTACGTAGAGAATTCATACTGGATTTGACTGACTAGAAGTTGTTCTACAACGTGCTTCAAGTGATCTGAGTTTTTCAAGCCTGTGCATTGGGTCCAGTAGACTTTTCTCCTCTATTTCAGGAGTTGTAGTAGATTCTATATATAGTGAACACACATTGATGCGATGTTTGATTTAGATTTCAAAATGAAATTAATAATTTCTTTTGAATCACGATAAAGCATTGAGCGTAAGATTTATTTATACCGAATTATTACTTAATTTTTTATAGATAACCTGTACTGTAATGATTCATTCGCGGTATAACTCCTTGATTTCGTCGTGCCCGATCTATTTCTCGTAATCCTTGTTCTATAAAGTCCTGGAAGAACTGGTGCGACTTAACTAAGAAAGGTTGAACATCTGCGTCAGGATATTGAAGTTTAAAATCATAAAGTTGCATTAAACCCTAGAAAATATTAAAAGTAAGGATAATATTAAAGAAATTGCAAATTCCTATCATACAATAATAATTTAAATTGAGTATATACAGAGTGAGTCGGCTAATATCAGCTACCTGAATAATTTCTACAATTCTAGTGATAAGAAAAAATGTTAGGTTTTTGTTAACTCTTCCGGTATATAAGAAAATGAAATAACAAACCTCTTGCATTTGTTCTTTTGATCCAATTTTTTTGAAGATTTCTGCTAACTGTTGATGAGTAGATTTTGATAAATGTTTTTGCATTTTTGTTGTACTATTTGTCTTTGACGTTAGCCTTGAAGCGGTATTTAGTTCATCCGGTTTAAACGTCTTTAAAAAATACAAATTTAATAATTTAGAAAAATATTTGTCTTTAAATATAATAAACACATTTATACTTACAGCAATTAATCTTATCAAATAAGAATGTAATTCTGATTCATTAGTGTTATTTATTTTTGTTAAATGACTGAGTATTGTGCTTCCCTTAACACGTGTCATACTGTGAAGAACTGTTTTTATCGTTCTTAGTGGAGTATCGGAACAACGCTTTTTCCACCAAGTAGTCGGATAATCCTGTAAATATAAACCTTAGATGTATGTAAGTTCGTTATTGGCGAATTATATATGGGTATACAAATAAAGGCTCTGTATAACTAAACGACCAACCGACCAACCCATATAGGGGTCGTACCATGCGATATTACGCATGTACAAGCGAATTTATATAAAACGAAACTAGCACCAAAGCATACCGCAACAAAAGAGTTATAAATCTTTTTAATAAACAAACAAACCTTCAAAAATCGATGAACTTCTAAGAGAATAATATCATAATCCAAGTCAGCTGCCCAATTTGGGAACGTTTTAACAATTTTCCACAAACATTTCATTACCAATTCTTCATATTTTGGAGGAACATTTGATTCGGCGCACGCATGAAGTAGTTCTATTAATACACTAAAATATAACAACAATTAAATAAACATAATATTTGTTTTCTATAAAATCATATTCTCGTAGATAATTATTTTAATAATATAAACAACATTTTATGTGACTTACCATATAATTGTTGTGTGATTTGAATTGTCGATTATTTTAACGACTATGTTATTTACCACTCTGATATACGCTTCTGCTTCTTGTAAACGTTCTAATTTACATTCTGCAAGTAAAGTGATCATTTGTTCGACGAGTTCTTTCAAATGTATTAATGGTACATTTTTAGCGAGTATTCCGGTATCATAAAACTAAAAAGATTTGATAATATTTAATATTAATCATGTAAATATATTCAATTATAAAAATAAAATATTATACACTCTTGTTTCTTACCGTGAGTATTACCATAAAAGTATTTCTAAAACCTTTGGATACATTCGTGCTTCCTTGATGTAAAGGATACGTTTGTAAAAATTTTAATTGCATATTCACTGAACTAATAAATTTATCTTCCTTCGACTGTAATAAATAAGCTTTATGTGATCTTAATAACTGAAAATAAATAAAAAGAAAATTATGTTCTGTAATACGACGTTAGATGTTCGTGTAAAATCATATTCTTATACAAAATATATTTATTTAAATTATATAGAACAATATTTTTGTTATACTAACATTATCAATACTGTTCATTGATTGTATGGCTGTAGGTAAGTCAAGACTAGCCATTGCGAGTATAGTATGTTCAAGATTATCATCTTTGGAATTAGATGGTCCTTCGGGTAATACTGTTGCCGATTTTGGTATCAACAATTTTGGTGGTGATATTGGTATCATTCTATAATACATTATAAGCAAATGAATAATTGCTTATCTCGTTTACACGTTAGAAATAAATCTACTTACTGGGTTTTAGTAGAATTAAGTTTAATTGGTTCATCGATATCAGATATAGTAGTATCTTGAAGAACAGGATTTCTAAATTTGACTGGAGCACTCGATTCAATTTTTTGTAGAAAATCCATATCTAATCCGAACGGTCCAGTAGCTTC